TAAAGAAATATGTGTGTACTATTTAAAAACTCCCGTTATTAAAAAGGTTAAAAAAATTTTTTATTGTTGGAAGATAGTAAATATGAGATTTATTTGATCTTAGAATTAATTATAGTCGAACGTTTTTTCATCAATATTGAAAAGATAATAATATTTGCGGTGTTTATATACGAGCCACTCGGTTTGCTGGCTTGTATATAAATACCGCAGATTATATTACCCTCTCCACACAATAATAAAAAACATTATAATTATCATCACTTCTACGATCAAATTAATTGCATATTTACTATCTTTCAATATTAATCACATTGTTCAAAATATTTATTTCTATTTCTCATTACGTTTTCATTCAATTTTGTGTACAAATATAAGTATTTTTTCTAGAATAAATAATTTTCTATACTTTCATCTTTTATTTTAATAGATGGAACTCGACTTTTGATTCTATACTGCAATTAGTAACACTTTTGAAAAATGATTCCGAAAAAATTAATCAATGTCTGGATTATAGCAATTTGCAAAGACTAACAGAAAACGAAATTAAATTTATAGAAGGATATTGTCAGGTACGTCTATAGATAGATTGTATTATGTATACATTTAGTGAATTTCTTTCATTTTTTTTTGTTTTTGGATTAGGCAATGAAACCTTTGGCACAAGCCTTAGATATACTACAAAGTGAGTCAGGGATATATATGGGATACTTATTACCAGTCTTAAAAACTTTACAAGAAAAATTAGAAAAACTCAACAAAAGTGGATTTACTAATTGTCAGTCACTAATTACAGCTATTCAACAAGGTTTAGATAAAAGGTAATTTGTTAATTTAATTAACACGCATGTATTTATTATTATTTAATACAAAACAATATTTATTCATTGATTTGGAACATATAATTTTAGATTTTCCACATTACTTGAAAAAAAGAGCTAATCATCGCAAGTTGTTTGCACCCAAAATTCAAGTTGAACTGGATAAATGGAGAAGAAAGGAAACTTGCTAAAAATTATTTAGAAGACTTATTAGGAATCCGTTCTAATGAAAGTTCCCCCAAATCCTGATGAAAACCTCGACGATCACGATGACTTTTTTGCTTTTAACCAGCAAACAAAAGACGTCGAGTCTGCACAAGAAGAATTGCATTGATTCTTAAA